TAGGCTTTAAAATTAAAATTATGAAATAATCTGATTTATTTAATTAATTTGCTAATTTGTATAGAAAAAAATAAAATAATTTAATTAATTCAATATAAAAAATAAAAAAAATTATTTGGTTTCGGTTCTTATTTTCGGTTCTTCGGTTTTTGGTCTAGACCCGAGACTCGACCCAAACTCATCGGTTCTCGATTCGGATACCTGTTCGGGTATTTAATTTATGAAGAACAGCTCGATTCGGTTCGATCCGGTTCGGGACTTTTGGACAACCCTAGTAGCCACAAGTATTAAATCAGCAATATCATTGACAGCAAATACCTAAAAAGAAAAATTCCTATTACCAATGACAAAATCATTGAAAGCCCAGGACTCCAACTATTTTCATCCTGAACAAAGATAATAACTAACAATAGGCTCCTCATTATTTCCATGGTACATAAGGAAAAATAGAAGGAAGAAGGCTTTCGATAATATGGTTACACAAAAGGAGTTAAGGTAAATGCATATGTAATGCATCTCATCATTCACCCACAAAATCTTGCAGTTGTCAGCCTGTACCCCTACTAAATCAATGAAATGTAGTTGCAATTTTAGCCGTATCTGAGTCTTCCAACCCTAGCTAAAAGTTGTTTAGTAGTTTCCACTAACAAAAAACGCAGAATAACGTATAAATCAGGATATTTCAGAATCTGCTAAAGATTGATCTCCTTGCATTATTCATGTGGTATAGATCACATGATATCCACTAAGCAGAACTGTACATGCAATTGAATCACAGGTTGGAATGATGTCTAGCAACTTTCTATCGAAACACATTAAAACCTAGTAAGCGTTATACAAGCTGAAGAAGAGAACAAGAAGGAATTCCACTGCAATCAGAACAATAATCATGGAGAGCACTACAATTATAAAACGGAGGGTACCAAATGACAAAATTAACTAAAGATGTAAGTACTCTGGATTGCTATACTATTATAAATACAAGTCTCTTAAATCTTAACAGATTCACACACAAAACAACTCTAAAAAACAATCCCCAATATTTGTATGTAACAGTATACAGTGCATAAAAATAAGTGCACGGGTAAAATCCTTTTCTGAATCATCTCAACTCCGCTAGTGTGCTACTCATTTGTAACTAAATTGAACACTTATGTTGAGCAAGATAAGGTTTTGCCTTTTGCACATTAATTTATAATAAGCTTAAACTTAGGTTATAATATAATTCTTCAAATTAAATAAAAAAACAAAAACAAAGAAATCAGATGATTTTCCATTATTACACTTCTCAATGTCAATCTAATAAAGGCAAATTAAAAACAAAACTGAAAAAGCGGCGAGAATTTCGGAAAACTAAATACACAACAAACCAAAAGACCTGCTCTTTGCGATCGTCGGCCGAAGAAGAAATGGAGGCGGCTACCGTGGCACCGGCTGAGCGCACGGCGGTGCTCGCATTCGTCGACACTGTCTTGATACAAGACGATATGATTCTCAAAGAATTAGGTAGCAATTTGCTGTTCTTGCCCTTGCCTTTCTTCATTTTTTTCTTATTTATTTTTATTACTATCCTTATATTTTTCTCTCAACCGTTCCCAACAACCACCGACCCAGCGGAAACTTCCAAATCTACTCCACCGCTTCGGTGTTCTGCTACAACTAACGAGGCTTCTGCCACAGTGGCCGACGAATCAGCCGCGTCGTGTACGATCATCCGATATTTCGATCCCCGGGGAAATGAAAACACCGTCGCAAAACACGCAAGATTTACCAATTTTCAGATTTCAATTTCCGCGTGCGGTTTTGGTGTTTGACTCCAAACAAAATGCCTTCGTTTACTGTTTCTGAAATCCGACTCTCTATTTATATCCCCACGCGACCCCCTCTTTGTGGCTTTGTTTCCGCAGAAAGCAAAATATCCATCTATTAAGAAGAAAATCAAAATGTATTTTTTATTTCCTTACTTCTTTTTTAAAATAAATAGTAATCCAAGACAAAAATTAAATAAATAAAAGTTTTATTTAGTATGATGGCCATATCATGATATTGTTTAAATATACATCAAGAGTTGAGCTGCATTCTATGTATTTTAATTTTTATCTGATTTGATATCGTGATATATCTAAATAGATATCGAGAGCTGAGCATCATCAGATATTTTTTTAATTTTTAAAAGTTTTATTTCATCATTCCTTTTTTTTTTAACAAATTGTGTAAATATTACTATCACACGAATGTGTCTGTGGTTACGGCTAAACAAATTCATAAAAAATCTTCTAAATTTCAGTGAATCAAATCGAGCATGTTTTTAGTAGATCGTCTGGAATCATTCTTGAAAAACACAAGTATGTACTTATAGTTTAATACATTATCAAGAAAATATAAATTAAAAGCTTTTATTTATTTTTTAAATATGTGAAGACAATAATAGCTAATGTCATCATTTATAAGTTTAGAACTCCATTACCTTAAATACAAAGTTGCTTTATGATATATCAACTATAGCTTTAGGCACATGGACAATATGAAACCTTTAGAAATTTTGGAGAAAGGAGAAATAGCTTATTTAGGTATTTGTATAGCTATACTTTCCTTCATAAAAGGGGAGAAGGCCTAATTGAAGTCTCCATCAATATTATTGTTTGTACGACGTAGTTATCATTAAAGCTTTCTCTACGAGGATTTAATTTTTTAAAAGATTTAATAAAAACGGCCAAAAGAAACATGAAGAGGAAAAAAAGGATGTATGGCTGAGGCGAGAAAAGAAATAAATGTATGGATAAGTCGGAGAAAGGTGAGAAAGACGTCAAGCCATCAACTTCAAAATATTATTGAGGTGATTGGTATGTTAGAAACAATAAATTAGAAAAAAATATTACATAGAACTTTTTAAAATCTTGTCGAGTTCGTCTAATCTAAAGTAACAAAAATATGTTAAAAAGACCCCCACAAGCCACCTTCAAAGTGTGTGTTGGTTAGGCAGATTAATTATGTACAACATGGATCACTTGTCTACAACTGCACCAGCAAGGCTGCTAATTTCAGTCTGGACTCATCCACAAAAAGCAAAAATTACTTGTCCATTCAAAATCAATAAAATAGAATGTAAAATAAAATTAAAAATTTTGAGTTTTTGCCCATGCATACGCATA